CGATAGTTGCGTTTGCATCATAGTTACACTTCAGACTGTCGCAGCATGTACTCATCGCTTTGAAAATGAACGTCATTCGCGTTTTGTTTTTCCAGATTACCGTTATTTATAACCGTCGGCAATGAGTTCTTGAAATTGTCACTTAATGAGGTAAGACTTACAGCTGAGTTTCGGAATTATTAGTATATGCTCCAATTAATGGCAAATCACATCTGAGAAGAAGGCTGCTAGTATAACGTTAAATTCATCACTGCAAACAGATCTGCCTCTTGAAATTTCTGTGACTTATAGTGTCTGCCAACGGTGCTGCTGCCAGTGGACTTTTATATTCGAATAGTATTGAATTGTTCTTTCTTCATTTATTTTTGTTTTATGATTAATTGTTGTTTGTCATAAACGTTGGCAGGAGAAATAGACTTACCTATTTGTCTGGCTATGCCTTTAAGCATCGAAATATATCAATAAATAATTATATTTTCTCCTCTAGCTCAAAAATAACCAAACAGCTCTCGAACGACACATCGTGCAGATACATGAGGATATATGCAGAATATGAAGTTGGACTGGGCTTTTAAACCTCTGATTATTTGAAAGCAGTCATTATGCGTCCTTAATCGTGCATGAATGGAGAACAATTATCCTGTTCTGTTAATGAAGAAAGTTGGCAGGTGAATTTCTTCGATTAAGTTCTGAATTTTAGTAGCAACATAAATGGTTTTATTTATACACAGCGCCAGAATCACGGTCACTCGCGTGACTGACCAGTACCGACGTTTCGGCCCGTATCTCGAACTTTCTTTAAGGTAGGAAGTTGGTTCAGTTCCTGTGTCTTTTTGTTGTTCGCGGCGTTTGGTAGGTTTGGAGCCAGAAGGCCTTCTGAACACACGAATCGCTTCAGACAAGAAAGATTCACAGAACTGAACCATTTCCTTACCTTGAAGAAAGCCCGTGAAACGGGCTGAAAGGTCGGTACTGGTAAATCATCCAATCGGTTATGTTGTTTTGCGTCGTGTATAAAAATACTGCCTGTTATGCTATTTTTCAGTGCGACCACAAACGCACGAACGAAACTCAACAGCACTACAATGGTAATTTCGTCCACTGTAACGATGAAGACAGACATACGGACTAGGTGTATCACTTATCCGGAAAAACGTTAAACCAGAGGAATCTTCCCGCCGTTTATCGGGCATCATAAGTTTAAGCCTTACAGCCCATGAAGCATACCCTAAATGATAATGACGTGCAGGAGTTTGTCCATCACCACCCTTTCTTCTTAATCATGCAAGAAACTCAATTGGGTGTACTACATTTCGTCTTGTAATTCATTCATTGTTGATAATATATTTCACTGTACTTCACCTTCGCTTCTTCTCTACGATAACAGTCAGTCATGGCCATTGTTAGTGATATAGACACTGAAACTGAATTTATGCAGAGACACCATACAGCTCTTTTAATACTTCCTCCTGTTGAACAGTGGAATATTCAAACTGAGATTATGATGTATTTTAGTTGATAATTGCTGACAGCGAGAAATGAATTTTTTAACATTCATTTTGATATTTCAGATTCAAACACATGATCCTTTTTTTCTGAGTTAGGCGCTCAAGTACATGACAGTTGTTGTTGCTGAAAACTAGCACTATCAGCGTTTCTAATTTAGTAAACTAGACTAGCTTGAAAGTGTAAACGTGGCTTCGTTTCTTGATGTTGTTCTTCGATCATTGTTGAATAAGATAGGGACTGCGTTCCAATTTCCAGCAGTTGTTATCCTGATTTGTCATGTCACTGTCTAATGTCTGGATGCCAAGGTTAGATCTAGCAACGCTAGTATTATTTTTCTTCTGCATGAGTCCAAAACATGGACACTGATTTGATAAATATGATCATCGATTCAAAGGGATGACAGTCTGAATGTATAAGATTCGCCAACATTATTACGTCAGATTTACAAAATCTTGACCTTTCAAATGGCGTAAGGGAATTTATTTTTTTTCCATGTTTTGATATAATTCATCAGGTACTGACTGGTTTTCTGATTTGTTTTGCCAAGGATTCGCTATCTTTCTTCGGGAAGCGACTTATTGGATAGAAACGGAAATTTTGACATGTTATACGCTTTCGGAGTATACTCTCAAGGCAGAATGAAATGTTTTTACATGTCTGATACGGCGCTGC